GGTTATAAATGTATGAATTATAGTTACTGCCTTGAATATCTAAAATAGTTCTATAATTTAAAAATACTGAAATTTTGGTTAAATATTGAAGAATAAGACATTCTGAATTATTAACAATTTAGCATTAATTCTTTTTTCAGTACTTTGCATTTTTCATTAAATAAAATATTCTCAAAAACTTTCTATTCAGCACATACAAATACGCCTCATTCTTTTTTTTTCAAATTTTTATTTAAATTCTAGTTAGTTAACATGCAGTGCAATACTAGTTTCAGGAGTAGAATTCAGTGATTCATCACTTAAATACAACACCCAGTGCTCATCATAACAAGTGCCCTCAATGCCCATCATCCATTTAGCCCATTCCCCCACCTACTTCCCTTCATCAACCCTGAATTTGTTCTCTAAGAGTTTTTTACGGTTTGTTAAACTCTGTCTTTCCTCCCCTCCCATATGTTCATCTGCTTTGTTTCTTAAGTTCCACATATGAGTGAAATCACATGGTATTTGTCTTTATCTGACTTATTTTGCTTAGCATAATACATTCTAGCTCCATCCACATCATTGTAAATGGCAAAATTTCATTATTTTTGATGGCTGAGTAATTAAGTCTGTTCCATTGTAAACTCTTTTGAAACTTTTCTAGTTTTGGCCACTTTCTCACTTTAGTAAGTATATTCTAATAAACACAAATTAATAATTCTTTGATAATCTTATCAATGTCCTTCATGATTATCAGGATAAAATTTTTGGAAATAGAAAAGAAGAATCACTACTGGCTCCAAAACCTACTATAAAAATGCCTGTTTGTATCACATTCTCAACGTCAAATTGTTTTCTTGAAATTTTCCTGTATCTAAAAAAATATTAGTCAAATACTAGGTAATGAAGTTTTAACTTTATAATATTTTTTTCAGTCATCCCAGATTTCACTCAAGAAAGCAGCAAATTTAGTTTCATCGTGAAGTCTCAGCAATATGTACTGCTGATACTTTTAACTGGAAACACAGAATCAAGTGCCTGTTAAGACAAAGCTGAAAAATAAATTCCCAACTTTCCTTTTCTTCCACGCATGCTGACACTTTGCTATTAACTGTAAATAACAACATGTGATGAGATACACTTAGAATGCCAGTTGTTCAGGATTCTTTTCTCATGCAAAACATTTCTCAAATTTGTAAAGACTCAGATGTGCTTCAACCGATTGCCTTAGGAATCTGGATGGGGATTTTTAATGGATTTCATATATGAATCATATTTATAATAGGCTATAAACTTCCCTTTAATATATAATAATAATGACAGAGAAATGTTCTATATCTAATTTTCATTTTATAGATTCTTCTCAATTTAAATTTTAAAAGGATTAAACAAATTACAGGTAAAAACTTTTTTTTTCCCCCATAAACTTCCACTTAGCAGAGGGAACACTACTAAAATTCACTCATTTCAAAGCAGTTCTAGATTTCTGATTTTTGACCCAATAAAAAGTTCACTATAGTTTAGAATGTCTATACTTTAATGACCCCAAAATAGGAAATAAGTGTAGAAAGGAGTTTATCTTGAAAATAATTATTTTTAACAACCCAAACATATCTATAATCTTAGAGAAAATATGCACAAATGAATTGGAATATGGAAAACATGTAGACGATTACATAAAAATAAAATATTGATTTGACTCAGCGATAATATTGTGGGAATTCGCTTGGATTTGTGTTATTTTAATATAATATTTGCAGTAAAATAATATTTTTAAATAAGAAAAATAAAAACAGTCCAAAATTGTAGCCCATTGTTAACTAAAGTCACGAGGAAAGGTGTTTATTTTATTTTATTTTTTTTCAAAATACAATAAGCTAAGCAGGTGTTCACAAGTGTTTCTACATGTTGGTCACTGTGGTTATACTGTAATACTAGTTTTTATTAGTCTATCTCTATTATATTTTTTGTTTGTATTTGCCTTTTCTCACATGGTCTCCATGTCCTACCTAAGCAAGAATCCTATAAAGCAAGCAAAAGAGCTCAATAAAGAAAATTACTAAATATTTGAGTAAATAATGAGGGTAAATTATTATCTTTAGTCAGCTACACAGTCTAATAGAAAATGTAAGATGTAAAAAATGAAGCACCACATGAATTTAGCCTGTTATTATAATAATTTCTTCTTAAAACAACATCCTTTGGGGTGATGTCCTTCACTTGCATTCTTTGTTATTGTCAGGATCTTTTCCAGCATAATAGTATTGATATAAGTTTTGTTTGGATTTTCTTTTAGAAGGGAGGGGTTGTGGAAGGGACTAGATGAGGAGCTGTGTGTTATAGACATTGATGATTTTCCAAAGAGAGGGAAACACTCCTTTCCAAAACAATTTCTCACAAACTTTAAGGAGAGAGATATAGTGGGAAACCTGAGTTGAGTCTAAGCTTATAACATTGTTTCTTGCCATGGTTTAAAGTTGAAAACTCATGTTGAAATTCATAATTAAAGACATTCCATGCTCATGGATTGGAAGAACAAATATTGTTAAAATGTCTATACTATCCAAAGCAATGTTCACATTTAATGAAATCCCTATCAAATATCATCAGCATTTTTCATAGTGCTAGTATAAGCAATCCCCAAATTTGTATGGAACCACAAAAGACCCCAAATAGCCAAAGCAATCTTGAAAAAGAAAAGCAAGTCTGGAGACATCACAATTCTGGACTTCAAGTTACATTACAAAGCTATAGTGATCAAAACAATATGGTATTGGCACAAAAAATAGACACACAGATCAATAAAACATAATAGAAAACCCAGAAATGAACCCACAACTATATGGTCAATTAATCTTCAGCAAAGCAGGAAAGAATATCCAATAGAAAAAAGACAGTCTCTTCAACAAATAACAGCGGGAAAACTGGACAGCAACGAGCAAAAAATGAAATTGGACCATTTTCTTACACCATACACAAAAATAAATTCAAAATGGATCAAAGACCTAAATGTGAAACCTGAAATCATAAAAATCCTAAAGGAGAACACAGGCAGTAACCTCTTTGACATAGGCCATAGCAAATTCATTTTAGATATGTCTCCTGAGACAAAGGAAATAAAGCAAAAATAAGCAATTGGGACTTCATCAAGATAAAAAGATTCTGTACAGTGAAGGAAACAATCAACAAAACTAAAAGGCAACCTTTGGAATGTGAGAAGATATTTGCAAATGACATATCTGATAAAGGGTTAGTATCTAAAATATATAAAGAACTTGTACAAATCAACACCCCAAAAATGAATAATCAAATTTAAAAATGGGCAGAAACATGAATAGAAACTTTTCCAAAGATGACATACAGATGGCCAACAGACACATGAGAAAATGCTCACATCCTTGATCATCAGGGAAATACAAGTCAAAACTACATTGCGATATGAACTCACATTTGTCAGAATGGCTAAAAGCAACAATACAGGAAACAACAGGTGTTGGTGAAAATGTGCAGAAAGAGGAACCCTCTTGCATTGTTGGTGGAAATGCACACTGGTGCAGAAACTCTGGAAAACAGTATGCAGGATCCTCAAAAAGTTAAATATAGAACTACCCTATGATTCAGCAATTGTACTACTAGGTATCTACCCAAAGAATACAAAAATAGTGATTCAAATGGATACATGCACCTCGAAGTTTATAGCAGCATTATCTACAATAGCCAAATTATGGAAATAACCCAAGTGTCCATCAACTGATGAATGGATAAAGAAGAGGTGGTATATATATATATGAATATTATATATATTGTATACAAGATTGTATATATACAATGGACTATAACTCCACCATAAGAAAGAATGAAATCTTGCTATTTGCAAAGACATGGATTGTGCTAGAGAATATTATGCTAAGGGAAATAAGTCAGTCAGAAAAAGACAAATACCATATGATTTCACTCATATGTGGAATTTAAGAAACAAAACAAATGAGCAAAGGGGAAAAGGAAAAGAATGGGAGGCAAACCAAGAAACAGATTCTTAACCATAGAGAACAAACTGATGATTACCAGAGGGGAGGTGAGTGGGGGATGGGTTAAATTGGTGATGGGGATTAAAGAGTGCACTTGTGATGAGCACCAGGTGCTGTATGGAAGTGTTGAATCACTCACTATATTGTACACCTGAACCTAATATTACACTGTGTTAACCAACTGGAATTTAAATAAAAACTTAAAAAATAATCAGTAATTAATGCATAAAGTGACTATATTTTTACATATTTATTTCATCTGTGAACATTAATCATACATTTTGTATTGATTCTGCAGCTTTTATCTCTTTCAGTAAGATTTTGTAATATGTGATTATGAAGACAGCACATTTTCAACGTTTTGTGACACAAGGTATCATAAAAAGCCATTTTATGGTTCTCCAGTCATTAAAATCTTAGTATTACTGGAGCAGTGAAAAGAATTCTGCCTACTACCTGGGGATAATGTGATCATTATGCTGGAATTTAATGGAGTAAGGATAAAGGCCAAACACAACATGGCCCTGTGTTTTATTTGACCCTGTGACCATGTAGCACTGTAATGGGAATCCAGTATAGCTGTCAATTCTGACTTTCCAATTAACTCAGGAAAGTATGCAACCCTTTATCTTATTTCCTAAGCAGAAATAGTATTGGGAATTATTTTTTTATTAAAAAAAGTATGAGAGTTCCTTCTGCCTAGGTGATCACCTCCTGCTTTGATTTTGGGATCAGCAGCCTAAAATTAATATTTTAAGATAATAAATAAAAACATAAAATCTTAAAATAAAGAAAAATACTGAAAAAGCTTTTTTTTTTTTTTTTTTTAAATCTTGGCACAGAGGAAGCGGGAAGTTACTTAGCAGGGTTCCGGGTTTCCTCACGCCCCGCCCGCCCTACCACAGCTAAATGGTTTTCGTCCTTGGGTCGGTCTGTCCTGCGGAGAGCAATCCACGTCCATGGTCCCTGCTCTGCCCGCCCGCTGCGCATCTGCCCTTCTCCTCTGACTCCGCCCCGCATCTGTCCGGAACCGCCTCCCGCCTGAGCTGACCCAGTGCGTGTCTGCCAGTCAGTCCCTCCGGACCTGCCGCGAGTCTCAGACTGCTGAAATTACCGCGCGTCACTCGGTCCGTACCCGGTGGGCATCTGGGGTATCTGGGCGGTCTCCCGTCTCCAGCGCGTGTGTCTGTCTGTCTGTCTTTCTGTGCGATCTAATCCGCCGTCTGCAGCCTGCCTTCCGGCCCCAGCGCACCAAGTGTTTAGTCTGCCCTTTTGCTGACGCTGAGTGTGTTTAGCGGCCTTAGTTAGCTGAGAGCCCGCCTGAGACCGGCCAGGCAGCCGGCGGAGGAATACACGTTTCGCCCCTGCCCATGTTAATAGAATTTTAAGCCAACAGGAGCTCTAGGCCTATGTTTATGCAGAAAACAGGTCTCGAGGCCTCTGTCTGCAATGCTGGATGTGGGGTGACAGCCAGCTGCCTGATGATTTCTTACAATTAAATGGGGAACAGGAAATTTCTTTCTTCTACTGGCTTTTGAAACAGATTTTAAATCTTAATGGGTGGAAATTATAAGTCCCCTTAGAACAGATTCGTTATTGGGATGCATTTTTGTCTGATGTGTTTGTTCTGAACCTGCTGACCAGCTGTTTCTGAACTTCATTTTCTCAGCCTCAACAGTGATTCTGAGTCTGCTTTTAGCTTCCTTCTCCTTGGCTTTCTTCTGTTTGTGAACAGCTGCTTGGCCCATAGCTTAGAGAAATCAGCCTTCTTTTCTCTCCCAAGAGAGCCACCTCCCTGTACTCAGAAAGATGGGGAGTGGAGAGCCTAATCCTGCTGGCAAGAAAAAGAAGTACCTAAAGGCTGCCCTGTACGTGGGTGACTTGGACCCAGATGTCACGGAGGACATGCTTTATAAAAAGTTCAGGCCTGCTGGCCCTCTGCGCTTCACCCGAATCTGCCGTGACCCTGTCACCCGCAGCCCCCTGGGCTATGGCTATGTTAACTTCCGCTTTCCTGCAGATGCTGAGTGGGCCCTGAATACCATGAATTTTGATTTGATTAATGGCAAACCTTTCCGCCTCATGTGGTCTCAGCCAGATGATCGCTTAAGAAAGTCTGGAGTTGGAAATATATTCATCAAAAACCTGGATAAATCTATAGACAATAGGGCCCTTTTTTATTTATTTTCTGCTTTTGGGAACATTCTCTCATGCAAAGTCGTATGTGATGACAATGGCTCTAAGGGTTATGCCTATGTGCACTTTGACAGCCTGGCTGCTGCCAACAGAGCCATCTGGCACATGAATGGAGTGCGGCTTAATAACCGCCAGGTGTATGTTGGCAGATTCAAATTCCCAGAAGAGCGGGCAGCTGAAGTCAGAACCAGGGATAGAGCAACTTTCACCAATGTTTTTGTTAAAAACTTTGGAGATGACATGGATGACGAAAAACTGAAGGAAATCTTTAGTGGATATGGGCCAACTGAGAGTGTTAAGGTAATAAGAGATGCCAGTGGGAAATCTAAGGGCTTTGGATTTGTGAGGTATGAGACACACGAGGCTGCCCAAAAAGCTGTATTAGACCTGCATGGAAAATCCATCAATGGGAAAGTTCTATATGTAGGGCGAGCACAGAAGAAAATTGAACGATTGGCTGAGTTAAGACGAAGATTTGAACGGCTGAGATTAAAAGAAAAAAGTCGGCCTCCGGGGGTGCCTATCTATATTAAGAACCTGGATGAGACCATCGATGATGAAAAACTGAAGGAGGAATTTTCTTCCTTTGGATCAATTAGCCGGGCCAAAGTGATGGTGGAAGTAGGGCAAGGCAAAGGGTTTGGTGTTGTCTGCTTCTCCTCTTTTGAAGATGCTACCAAAGCAGTGGATGAGATGAATGGTCGCACAGTGGGCTCCAAGCCCCTGCATGTTACCCTGGGCCAGGCCAGGCGCAGGTGGTGAGAATAAGAATGCTCAATTTGTTTCAGCCTTAAGCTGGTGCCTACTTAGTTTGGGCTACTTTGTGATAAGAGGTTATTTTATTCCAGGTTATTTTTTTTTAAGTGAATATTTTCTTTTGGAAAAAAAAAAAAGTAAAACTAGAAAACCTTGTTCATTTTAGTGAAGAACGTAATTTCTAATTGTAAAACTGTCATTTTGTACTATTTTTTGATAAAATATCCTTAGAAATATGTAGAATAAAATTCATCCCTCCACATACTGTTTTTTTTCCTAAACCAGTCCAGGTAAGGTAATTGGTTGAACATAGGTTCCTTCCTTATTCCAGTTATAATACTAATGTAATTGCTTCTGTGAAAATATTCTCAAGATGGACATTATTTCTGAATCTATCACACATAAAACTTCTGACTTTCTTTTTGAGAAATCAGTAGAGCAGGCGAAAATGTATGTGATCCACTTAACATTTGTGCATAATTTTACCTTATTATTTAAAGTGAATGTTATTTTAAAGAGATGTGAGTTTCTTTATTTATACTTTTTTTTCCCCTTTTCTAATATATTGTGGGCATACCACAGAGTTGGCAGTGACTTTGACTAAGTGTCGGGAGTTTTCTTTAACTTCATGCCCAGAGAAATAAACATATTGGTGTTTTCTCAATCAGTACCTTAGGAAACTAACACTTAAAGCATTATTAAAATGAGTTTCACCTTAAAAATCTGAGAGATTTAATATATGAGGACGTCTAAGGAGCATTCTTGCCACTCATTTTTTTAAATTCTTTAGTAGTATAGATGGGTCATGTTAAAATAATGAAAAAGATGAATAAGTGCACTGAATTGCCTTTACCTATAGATAATTTTAAAATTTTACCTCCGCCTCTATAAAGTGTCAATATAAGGGTAAATAATCCATATAGTGATGTTGAAAAACTACATTGAAGAATATCTTCAATATTAAACTTGTCATTATCTCTTGTAAATTTTTTAATACATCCCTGTGATAATATTCACATATGTATCAAAAGTAAGGAAAACCTTGCCTCTCTTGATTAAATCATATGCCTCCGTCTATTATATGAGAGCTATTAATCCAGTATGGTTCTCTTTATGTCTGGCTGCTTGGAAGTTGTGACAAAATGTTCTGTTCTATATTGCAGTTACATTATTTAGCCTGTAATTTCTTGATTATGGATTTTCCATATTTTACTTGTAGTCCCCTCTTTTCCCCACCCATCTACCTTCCATCCATATTATACTTACTTTTATGTTTTCTTTAGATTGCCTTTCATTTAATATGTGGGTGTTCAAATCCATTTTGGAAGTAGAGAAATTATTACTTAATTTGTGTAAAACTTAAATAATTACTTTTTAAAAATAGGATTCACTCATATCACAGATCCAACCGTAAGAAAATGTTTTGTCTCTATTCTTAATTGGCTTTTATTATGTTATATAGAAATCTTAGGTTACATACATAATGCAATATAAATATATAATTTTATTAACACTTTTGTTAGCTATGTGCCCATAAAATAATGGGAAAAATCTGTTTCTGTGTAACTGTTTATCCAGAAATTACATTTATATTCATTATCAAGTATTTTCAAATGGAAATCACTGTTTTTGTTGATCATATACATAATACATGCTCATTTAAAAAATGTACACAATGCAGACATTTATAGAGAAGTAAAATTTCCACAGGACAGAGATAACCACTATTAGTGTTTTCAATGCATACATATACTTCCATGCCCTTTCTCCTATGTATACACACAATATTTTACAAACAAACAGAAAACATACTATAGGTACTGTGTTTTGTTAAATTGTAAACTAAAACATAATCTTTTTATGTCAATAAATATCGATCTGTATCATCATTTTAGTGACTGCACAGTATTCCATTATATGGATGTACTATAGATTAAGTAGCACATTATTGAATAAGATTTATGTTTTTCAATGTTTTCTACATCTATAAACAATGTTGTGATTAACTTCCTTGCTTAAAACAGTATGAGTTATATGAGCTTGAGAAAAAATATCTATAGCATATAAAAGCTTAAGTCTGCTAGAAAAATTAAAATGCACATTATATTGATATATGTATCAAAATTCTGAAAAAAACATTCAAGATATATTCTTTACTTAAATTGACAAAAGTAAAACTAAAAACTAATGGGATATAATTTTTCATATTTTCTGAGCCCACTTGCTTTATACCCTTGTGATCATTAAAATATATGAAAACAATGCAAACAAATAAATTTAAAATAGTTACTTTGGTAATTATTTACCATACGTACTCTCTACTCCTTTTTACCCATTACCAGTTTTTATTTAAATTTATAATCTTGAAGTGTTAGTGTTAACTTAAAACCTTGACGAATGCTTTGATTCAGTATAAATCACGAAAGATTTCTAGTAGGTAAAAATCTTCAAGTATAAGTATTTAATACAATTTGGGAAATTATTCAAGTATTTTAATAATAGTAAATAATAGTAAATAATTACTATTTTCAAGAAGTCAGACAGTATAAATAAAGGACTAATTAAAATATGTCCAAGGACAGTTAAAACATACGTTAGGACACTGCAAAATAGTCAAAAACTCTAAATTTAGTTGGTAAAAAGGGGGAAAAGATAAAGGAAAGGTAATCTCTATTTGAACACAAACACCTCGGTAGTTTTCCAATCCTGTGCTTTTCATTTTTAACTACATTTAATAGACTAATAATTAAGGCTTCGAAGGGGGAGCAAAACAACTGAACAGCTTAAATTGGTGAAAAGGCATTAAAAACATTTCCTAGCACAAGATAATTAGTAAAAATTAGTAAAACAATACCATCAATTTTCATGGTAAACTTAAGAATGGACTGTTCAACACAAGTTTTTTGTTTTGTTTTGTTTTTTGTTTTTTTAGCTTTTAAAAAAAGTCACTGTACAAACTTCAGATGTACCCAGGGAGAAGAAAATTAAGAACATTGCTTTGTGGGGTGCCTGAGTGGCGCAGTAGGTTGAGTGTCTGACTCTTGGTTTCAGCTCAGGTCCTGATCTCAGGATCCTGGGATAGAGCCCTGCCTTGGGCTCTGTGCTCAGTGCTTAAGTTTCTCTCTCCCTCTCCTTCTGCCCATCCCCCCCACTCTCTTTCTCTCTCTCTAAAATAAATAAATCTTAAAAAAAAAAAAAGAATGTTGCTTTGTGATTGTAAACCATCATATTAAAGGTTATTTTGGTGAGACTTTTCTGTACAGAAAATGTCATACATACTGGTGCCTTTCTGGTTGTATCTATGGTTAAGGGGAAAAAATAAAATGTTACATGTGTAAGATATTTTCAGCACAGGGGAAAAATAACTAAGAATACTGTGTCTTTAAGGGAATATTTAGGAATGGTGTGAATACCATCTTACCTATAAATGGCCTAATTTAAGGGACTAGTCAGAAAGTATCAATAAATGACTGAATATAGATGATACATGTGTTCCCAGCACCTACAGTAATACCCAGAGTTTAGTTAGCATTCCATGATTAGTTGTTGAATTATCCCTCCATTTGTTTGCTTTTCAATTCTCTTCTCAGAATTTCACAAGAGAAATGAATTACAGAATAAGCCATTTTTATTAAATTTCATCCCATGAAGAAATAATTGAGAACTGATTAGTTACATAGATTGCTGCTTCTAACATAGTGTTACTGGTGACATAGACTAGTGCTTATACCATTAAGGTGTTATCAATACTTTATACTTCTCATGCTTTCCTTTTCATTATTGTTCAAGAATTGATTGATGAGTTTATCTTAGACAAAGCTTCTAAGAATTGGCAAACTCAAATGAAAGTCTATTTGTATAGAAACATTTTTTAAATAAATTAATGGGATGTTGCTTCAAGACCAAGACTATTCCACAAGGTCCTGCTCCTACATTAAATCAAATGATTGCAATAACCCCTGAAAGACTAATACTAATGCATGTGAAATTAATTGTTTCTTACATGTTTTAGGGCATTACTTCCCATAAGTATGACCTAGCAAATGGTTTCTTGGAGCCTCAAGAAAGTTAATGTATCTCACTTGGCTCCAAAGGATCATGGTAAGTAGTTAGATAATCTAGCTACCACTGGAAATCTGAGAAAGACCTAAATCAATGTACAAATACTGAGGATATAATTACTATGAAACTTAAAAAAAAAAAAAAAAACTCCAAGTACTTTCACCCTCAAAAGTCAAAGTCAATTTTAAAAGATTTCCCGTTTGGCAACCAAAAATGATTAATGTTTGCATTAAATTTCTCAACAAAAGTTTGGAGCCTTTGTATTTTATTTAATTAAGAAAATATTAAGTTCTTTAAAAAGACATGCAAGAGAAGAGATGAATGAGGATATATGTCATGACTGTCTCAGTTATCAGAGTAAATTAGTTTCTTTGTTTTAGAACTAGTAAGGGAAATACCAGATGTTGGCATCTTTTGCATAAACAGTAAGCCTTCTGTAATGTAGAATAAATAATTTTACAAGTTTGGAGATTGGTTTAAAACTTCCAAAAGGGTAAATTGTACTTTTGGGAAATCAATGACTTTTTAAATCAATATTTAGGAACATTTAAAAAGTAATTTTAAGCAAATTTACACAGGATGGCAAGCAACTCCTTTTTTTAAGCAAATTGACATACTAATTATATTAGTTTCAGGTGCACAACATATTGACTCAACAATTCTATACATTACTCAGTGCTCACCATGGTAAGTGTAGTTACCATCTGTCACTGAACAATGTTATTACAAAATTATTGACTACATTCCCTATGCTGTACACTTCATCTCCAGGACTTACTTTATAACTGGAAGTTTGTACCTTTTAATCCCCTTCATCTATTTTATCCATCTCCCCTCTGGCAACCACCCATTTGTTCTCTGTATTTAACAATCTATTTGTTTATTTGTTTATTCATTTGTTTTATAGATTCCACATATAAGTGAAATCATATGGTATTTGTCTTTGATTTAATTAGTATAATACTCTGTAGGTCCATTCACGTTGTTGCAGATGGCAAGGTCTCATTCTTTTTACAGCTGAGTAATATTCCATTGTGTATATATACCACATCTTCTTTATCCATTCATCTATGGATGGACACTTGGGTTGCTTCCATATCTTGGCCATTGTAAATAATGCTGCAATAAACGTAGGGTGCATTTATCTTTTGGAATTAGCATTTTCACTTTCTTTGGGTGTAAACAACTATTTTTTTGTTGTTTCAAGGGGTTTTTTTTTTAATTAATTAATTTATTTATTTATTTATGAGGGACTGTGAGAATGAGAGAGAGAGCATGAGCAGGGTGAAGGGCAGAGGGAGAAGTAGACTCCCCGCTGAGTGGGGAGCCTGATATGGGGCTCAGTCCCGGGATTCCAGGATTGTGACCTGAGCAGAAGGCAGATGCTTAACTGACTGAGCCACCCAGGTATCCCTGTTTCAAGTTTTTATTTGAATTCCAGTTAGTTAACAAATAGTGCAATATTAGTTTCCAGGGGAATTTAGTGATTCATCACTTACATATAACACCCAGTGCTCATCACAACAAGCGCCTTCCTTAATACTCAACACCCATTTAACCCATCCGCCTGCTCACCTCCCCTCCAACAACCCTCAGTTTTTTCTCTATATTTAAAAGTCTGTTGTATGGTTTGCTTCTTTTTTTTTTCCCCTCTTATGTTCATCTGTTTTGTTTCTTAAATCCCACATATTAGTGAAATCATATGGTTGTCTTTCTCTGACTGACTTATTTCACTTAGCATAATACTCCTTCCACGTCATTGCAAATGGCAAGATTTTATTCTTTTTTATGGCTGAGTAATATTCCATTGTACATATATAACACGTCTTTATCCATTCATCACCTGATGGACATTTGGGCTCTTTCCATAATTTGGCTATTGTTGATATTGCTGCTATAAACAGTAGGTGCATGTGTTCTTTTGAATCAGTATTTTTGTATCCCTGGGTAAATACCTAGTAGTGCAATTGCTGGATCATAGGGTAGTTCTATTTTTAACTTTCTGAAGAAACTTCATACTGTTTTCTGGTGTGCCTGCACCAGTTTGAATTCCCACCAACAGTGTAAGAGGGTTCCCCTTTCTCCACATTCTTGCCAACATCTATTGTTTCCTGTGTTTTAAATCACCTTTCTGAGGATTTTGGACAGACTACATACCTGAGTAAAACATAGAGAAGAATTTGCAAGCTTTTCTTTTCCAGTGCTTTAGGAAACACAAAATATATGTCTAATTTATTTTATGGCAGAGAAACTTATTATATATTAATTTCCTTAAATAAAGGAGTAAATATCATACTTTTTGTGATGAAGGGAAGATTTTTTACAATATGGTAGGAATGGTGACAAAGTTATGAAAGTCAAGAGGAAGAATATGTTTTTCTCTATTCATTAAAGAATTTTTTTAAATATATGGGGTTTATGAATTAAACAAAGGATAATTTAAAAAGGGACATAGATACACCATACAAAGTTACTGCAATGTTACTGACTGTATTTTCTATGCTGTACTTTTTATCTCCAGGACTTACTTATTTTATAACTGAAAGTTTGGATCTCTTAATCCCCTTCACCTATTTCACCCATCCCCTAATCCCCTCCCTTCTGGCAACCACCAGTTTGTTCTCTATATTTAAGAGTTTGTTTTGTTTTTTTGTTTTGTTTTGTTTTGTTTTTTAAAGATTTTTTATTTATTTGACAGAGAGAGACATAGCGAGAGAGGGAACACAAGCAGGGGGAGGGGGAGAAGGAGAAGCAGGCTTCCCCGCGGTGCAGGGAGCCCCATGCGGGGCTCTATCCCAGGAGCCTGGGATCACGACCTGAGCCGAAGGCAGACGCTTAACGACTGAGCCACCCAGGCACCCCGAGTTTGTTTTGTTTCGTAGAATACACATACAAATGTAATCAGATGGAAAAAAAAATAAAAAGGGACATGGATAAATAAAAAGTAATTAGAATGTTACAAACATTTAAGAGTAAAGGCAGTAAATGTCTGCCTGACTTGATATTTACTTTAAGATGAAGTATCATGAATAGTTTTCATTTAGTTTGTATGGTTCTTCTTTTTTATTGAAGATTCATTAATTTATTTTAGAGAGAGAGAGACAGAGCACAAGTGAGAGAGGCAGAGGGAGAGGGAGAAAATCTCAAGCAGACTCTGAATTGAGCATGGACCCCCACGTGGGGCTCTATTTCATGACCCTGAGATCATGAGTCAGATGCTTAACCAACTGTGCCACCCAAGGCGCCCCTGTATGATTATGCTTAACATTGATTTGACTACTACAGTAATAGTAACCCTCAGGAACTTTTCATTTATAAGTGAATTTCTTTAAAAAAATCATCAGTGCTAATCTTCTTCTCTCTACTCTCTTATCTTCATCACCTTATCTCAACTCCATCCTTTGCTGAACACAGACGTTTTAATAAGGCATTTTTAGTTTACATAGTTTGTCTAAACATTACCTCAAACATTTCTAGTAGATGTGTGTGTATGCAATTTTGTGCCAATTTGTTGAAATAAAATTTCAGGACTTGCATGTTAAGCCACAGTAGATGGCAGAACATGTACTGTTTATATATGGATGAGTGTATCTAGCTGAAGATATTCTTCTTAAATGTAAATATCAAAATGATGCCAATTAAGCCAACAACAAAACTATGGGCTCTGTTTGGGATTGTGTTTTCATAATGTATACATGCTCCAGAGCATCTGAGTACCAAAGAGGTAATACAACTAGAACTATATATTGCTAATGTGGTAAAAATTTTGAGATGTGAAAGCAACATCCCAAGCATAACAAGAAATGATCTAAGAGACACTAACCAACTTTTCTCAAGTGGCATCTTAGGCAATTAAAATGAACTATATGTAGCCCTTAGTTGTTTTATGGGGATATACCACAATAATGTAAGCCCTCTCAGTCAAAGAGTAAAAATACATAGGAAGATACAGTTTTCTGAAACTTCTATTATATTTTGATATACATGAAAAAAACTGTGATGATTGAAAAGCATGGATGAACTAAGTATGTCTCCCACTTTAGTCTCCAAAAGAAAAATAGTTTTACTTCAGACAGAATGATTTTCTTAGACCACTGGGTCATTTGCACTTTTAAAAATTTTTTTTAGGTTGTGAGAGATGCATATATATATTCTATTTTAATGCTCAAAGATAAATATGTCTCCTCAAATATTCTATTTATAAGATGAAATATAAACTGAAAAACAGTGTCACAACTTTTCCTCAACAACAAGTTTCATCTATAGAAATCATTTAAGCTGAGTTTCTCATATAAGTAATTGAATGTTTGAAATTGTATCTCTAATCTGGGGCCAAGGATTTAGGGCTATAAGAATTGTGTTTTAATTCACTGGGATCATACATTTTTATTTTTATTTTTTCAGATTTCTTTTTTCCCAATGTAGGGCTTGAACTCACAGTCCTGAGATCAAGAGTTGCACGCTCTACCAAATGAGCCAGCCAGGCACCCCATGGGATCATATATTTTTAGAATATTGTCTGGTAGAACTGTTTATCTTGCTTAATGTGCAAAGGCAATCTATCAGGTTTCTGAGTGAACTTGAAAATGTAATTAACTACTTGAAACAATATGGAATTTGTCCCTAAAAAACAAAATCAAAGCTCATTGAATAACTAAGAACACTATATTAAATAATTTTAGTCAGTATTAGAAATTGAATTAAAATAGAATAATTTCAGATGGATTGGAGATACATGTTTTGAAACACAAGAAACACAAGAAATAAATTAATACTAATTAATACATTGTCTCCAGAAAGAGAACTTGCACAAAAAATATGTAGAAGTGAGTATTGGACACAGAAGGGCAAAAAAGCCATGGAAATCCTTCACATCTACTCAGGGAACCCATATTTCTCCGATGCACCATTAGTATAAACAAAAAAGGCAATGAAAATGTCAAGAAAGTAGAGAAAAGAGGAAAGGTTTGGTTCTTAGAAATATGAACTAGGGGCAACCTGTATAAATTTCATTAAGAAGAGTTCATAATTAATGCTTAAAGTTGTCTCTGAAGATAAATTATTTCTTCCTTTCTTATTTTCACATGTACTACCTAAAACTTTCAGGACTTCTCAGAATTATTTTTTTAAGATTTTATTTATTTATTCATCAGAGAGAGAGAGAGCACAAGCAGGGGGAGCAGCAGGCCAAGAGAAGCAGGCTCCCCGCTGAGAAAGGAGCCCAGTGCAGGCTTCCATCCCAGGACCCCAGGATTATGACCTGAGCTGAAGGAAGAAACTTATCTGACTGAGCCACCCAGGCATCCCAGGACTTCTCAGAATTCTTATTAAGGTATTTCAGCAATAAATTCTAACAACAATGACTCTGGAATGTACTGTAATGTTTTGATTTTTTAAAGCTCCTTATGTTTTGTTGTTTGTACTCAAATGTCACAACATTTTGTCTTTCCCAGGTGCATTGGTAGATTTCTAAATTGACTATGACATAAATAGTATATCATTTCTATCAAAAATTCAAGGTTTGCATGGTAATTGGGGTGGGAGGTGGTACTAATTCTAGCAAAATTAAAATCCTGTGGTT